TATATATATATGAGATGAGACATCTCATTCTGGCGTCTGCATCAAATTAAATTTTCAAATGATTTTATAAACACAGAAAGCATATTGTACATGCAAGTAAAGTGTCTACTTTGATGTTTCAAACAACCTTTGTGGAAATAAAATATCAAAATGGTCGAGCCACGTCACTTTCAAAATACGGGTGAAATAATGTTCCATCGTCATTCAGCGTAACAGACATATTTGTGTAAAAATTAAACATGTGAACTAAGTTTTATTATATTTTAAATAATTTAAAACTTCTTGCTGAAAAATGGGTAAAACTTAGTGGTTTGAAGGATAGTGGTAGAGACATAGTGTTTGGGAGCTGCACTTGTGATAAAATGTTATCTAATGATTTTTTTTTCTAAATATATAATAGAACAAGATGTTTTGGTATATGAACTATTGCTACACTGAATGACATGTTAGTGGCTGTTTTCTGTAAATCATGCTAAAACGTATTTGCTCAAAAAATATTACAGGACACATTCTAATGTAATGTAATTGTATTAAAATTGTTATTGTTTTGGTGTTTGAAAATCCCTTTTCATCTTTGACCCATATACGTGTATGAATATGTCAAGCAGCCCAGTTATTATCCAATCCGTGAGCAAGCAGTGTAAACTCAGTTCAGTTCACAGCTGCCTGTCACCCCTCAAGCAATCCTCTGGACTCATTCTTCTCACTGGTCAGTTTCTCAGCTGCTCGCACGAGCACATCACTTGGTTGCATTTTTTTTTTTTTTTAATTTTTAGGGATTAATCAATGCATGCTGGTGAACTTTTATCATAGTTTATAGTTATATGAAAACGAAAGTGGTTAACATTCAACCCCTTCTTTTTCATCAGTATTATTTGTGATTTAAATTTTGTGAACGGAAGTTCCTATTTATGTTATAACCGGGCTTCGGGTGCTTTCACTTTCGAATTTGCGATCTTGGTGTCACGTTTTACAAGAAAAGATAATTGTCTAATTTGCTTACATACATCTATACATATTTAACTTTTTAAGACTAAAACAAAAGATGGATTCATTGTTATTCTTAATTAAAAA